TCTCTCTCTCTCTCTCTCTCTATATATATATATATATATATATATATAGTGCGTTTCTCATACGCATTAGTGCGTACGCATTCACGTGTTTCTGGGTTTTTTTTGCAAAAATCGCTACTTATCACTCGTGACCACTTAAATTCTCTCTCTATAGGAGGAAATCCCCTCCTATGACAAGGATACCCATTAATCTCATATATATATATATAGTGCGTTTCTCACACACGCATCAGTTCGTACGCATTCACGTGTTTCTGGGTTTTTTTGCAAAAATCGCTACTTATCACTCGTGACCACTTAAATTCTCTCTCTCCCTGAAAAAAACCCCAGATCCGTTCTCTCTCTCCCTAAAAAAAGCCCCAAATCCTCTGAATCAAGCATCGGTCCTGCTCCTAACTCCGCCGACGATCGACCAAATCCTCCGACAAACTCTATCGAGGTCGACCAACTCCGCCTTCAGCTCGCGATTTCGCCGTCGACTATCGTCGCCGTGAGATCTCCTAACTACAGCCCTAACTCTACCTTCAGCTCCTCCGAGATCTTCCACATCGTCAAGGAGCTGATCGGGTTCATCCTCTACATACACCATCGACTATCGTCGCCGTGAGATCTCCTAACTACAGCCCTAACTCTACCTTCAGCTCCTCCGAGATCTTCCACATCGTCAAGGAGCTGATCGGGTTCATCCTCTACATACACCATCAGACCCCTTCGTACGGAAACTCTAATCTCTCTCCGAATCTGTTTCTTTTCAATTTATGCAAGTATATATATGACTCCATATTCTCTTTTGCTGTTGCTCCAAATCTAACTACGACTTCACTTTGCTCCAGATATTGAGCAACAAGGTCATTGTGGAGGGATCGGAGAAGCACAACCCTCTCAATGAGGGATCCATTCTCTGGATTAGTGAAACTAGGTTGCCACTAGGAATAATTCATGAAGTATTTGGACCTGTGAAGAATCCCTTCTATGTTGTCAGGTACAACTCTGATGATGAAGTTCCTCAAGGAATCAGCATTGGTGTTGCCATCTCTTTTGTTGTGGATTTTTCCAACCATATTCTAAATGAAAATACCTCTATGAGCATTGGTGTTGCCATCTCTTTTGTTGTGGATTTTTCCAACCATATTCTAAATGAAAATACCTCTATGAGAATGGGTATGATGCATCAGGTATCGATGATGAGGGGGCTGCTGACGAAGTGGAATTCTCTGATGATGAAAAGGAAGTTGAGTACAAGAGATCTCTCCATCAAAGTAAACGAGACGCAACTATGGGAAACAGGAGACTAGGTTTGGCAAGAAAGCTAATTATAAGGGTTTAGTTGTAAAGAGAGGTTGACAATGTGTAATATTTATGCTTCTTATATTTAGGACTTTAGTTATGTAAATTTGAAGCAATTGTGTCCCGAATTTGAAGCAATCTTTGTGTAAATCTTGGCTGGCACTCTATTATAAATAAAAACTTGTCTTCCATTTTGAGTTGTGATTTGCAGAGCATGTTTATGTTGAGAATATTCCATTAGCGCCCTTGAATCTGTGGTTGCAATTGATGTTTCTCTGCTACATTTGTTGATGCTTGTGTCTTGAGGTGTAGTAGGTTGCGATGTGAATATTCTTCTTCAAAAAGGAAAATGCTCGGGGAGATGGTTGTATTGAGCTTCGGGAATATTGCATCGTTCAAATGACAACCCATTGTTCAAATGACAACCCATCGGCGTCCAAGGAGGATTTCCTCAGCCCTATTCTGTGCAGTTTTCTGCTCATGGGTTCCTTACATTCTACATAACCACAAGGCAATCTGCTGATTTAGCTGAAAATAATCAAACAAATAACACACAAACGAAGAGGAATGCTCATAAGCAAACACAATAGGTACATAACAAGAAAATTCACTGTCTATGTTTCAACAAATAATGGATATACACCACATATCAACAACAAATTGAAAGAGACTGCAACTCTCAAACTCACATATAGTGAAATCTGTTGCAAAACAACACAGTTACAACAATGTTTCGTTTACTACATTTGGTCCTGCAATACAACACAAGCAAAACAACACGGTTACATCAATGTTTCGAGTTCATGCATCAATGTTTCGGTTACAACATGAAGAGCTAGTAATACACATCGTAGCACAAAGTTGCGACCTGCTCAAGAGCAGATAGCAGCTCATTGAAGCTCTCAGAGAGGATGAGTACACATGGCAGCTTGGTCGTTTGAAGCATAAAGATCTCCTGTTAGCAGCCATGCCATAGGCCTATATAAAAGATGAGCAGCATTATAGACTGAGCAGCATTATAGACAATACATTAATCAAACATACAATAATCTCTCCACTTTCTTGGCAATCAAGCAAGGATGAAACATAGAGATCATGAAATAAGTATAATCTCTCCACTTTCTTGGCAATCAAGCAAGGATGAAACATAGAGATCATGAAATAAGTACTTGTTCTTCACAACTATTTTAAAGAACAAGGGAAGAGATATTTGCTACAAAATTCTTCCATACTAGATGGTGACAGACAGGAAAAAGTTATGTGGTAGAAAGTTGCTATTAAATTATTCAATTCCTGTAGGTTATCTCAAAATTAGTCCCTCAAAACATTGAAACTGCTATTAGGTCCCCAATTCCTATAAGTTATTTCAAATTAATCCCTAAACTCACCTAAATACGAAAGCAAACACCAGGAGAAATATCAGTGCTGCAGATTTGCACTGCAAAATAACATGAGACCAAAGATTATGAAGATGCACAACATATACCATTCATATATAACCCAAAAGAACGAACCATTGTCGCAAATGTAACCGATATGAAAACAAGGGACTCATTGCTCAGGTTTACATCCAAGGCAGTAGCTAATCCCGTAGGCACAACTGCACAGAATAAAACCCCACAGTAAGTCCTTATTTTTATACTTTTACAATTCAAAGATCAAATATTTCTAAAAATAGACAGCTCTAAAGAAGTAATCCCTCCATGTCATCGTCGGGCCGCTTCTATATTTAAACCGAGATTGGAAAAAAAATGGCGTTGGATATCACAGCTTTCATCCCAAAATGAACTGTGTTCATCATCAAAGGAACCGGAAATTTTCCTAGATGATCCCCTAACAATGTCTTATTATACCTAAAACCCAAAAGCAGCTATAGCTTTAGGAAAAGGGAACAAAACATTCCAAAATTGGTAAAGAATGGGGATAGATTACCACAAACTTACAACGTCAACAGAGTAAAAGGTACCAGACAAGTATAAAGAATAGAGTTTTGAGCACCATTAAAGCAGAAATCGAGCTCAAATTATCGAGATTCTCTCCATTATCGATTTCTAAAGAGGCGTAACCCTTTCCGTTACCGTTCTGGTCCCTTGACGGAGTCCGTTAGATCGCGGTCTCTCGAACTCCAATAGATCGATATCGTCGCAATCTTCGTCGGTGGCGACGGTGACAGGCTCGATCCCGTGGGGATCGTCGTCGCAATCTTCGTCGGCTTTGAATCTGAATCTGAACCTCGACGGCGAAGTTGGTCTTCCGTCGGCGGAGTTAGGAGGAGAGATTTGGGTTCGATTTTTTAGGGAGAGAGAGAGAGGGATTTGGGGTTTTTCTTCACGAAATGAGAGAGAGAACGAGATCGGGATGAGGACCCAAGATAAGGTGATGGTTTTTTTCAAAAAAGCCCCCGAGCTCATGAT